AAATAAATAAATATCCAAATGCCCTACAAAATTAAAAATAAAATAAAGAAATATTTTGTCATTCATGTTCATAGCAGCATTATTCACAGCAGCCTAAAAGTGAAAGCAATCCAAGTGTCTGTCCATCAACGAATGAAACAAATGTGGTATATTCATAGAAAAGATTATTTTTCAGTCTTATAAAAGAAGGAAATTCTAACCCAAGCTACAGCATGGATGAACTTTGAAAACATTATGCTAATAAAATAAATCTGTTACAAAAGGACAAACACTCTAATGTGACACTGAAGAGTGCTAGGTCAATTTCACAAAGTAGAAAGGTGACTGCCAGAGGCTGGTGAAGGGGGAATGGGAGTTACTGTTTCAGTAAAACAGAAACAAACTTTCAGTTTTGCAATATGAAAAAAGTTCTATACGTTGACAGTAGTGAAGGTTGCAAAAAAATGGCAATGCAGTTAGTGCCATTGAACAGTAAGTACACTTAAAAATGGTTAAAACGGTTAACTGTATGTGTATTTTAATACAACTTAAAATTAATGAAAAACTTTCCAAAAATCTCTTCCTACTTAAATTGCTCTTCCTATTTAAATTGCTTCCATTTTCCTGATGAAGATTCTGACCAGTTACCACCTTTGAACAAATGTCAATCTTCATTACAAAAACACAAGTACTCTCAATAAAGACTCTTCTCAGTGTGTTATTATAAAAAGGATGTTTAACATTAATTAGTGAAACTGTTCTCAAACATAACAATATCAATTGTAACACAATACTCTAAATAATTTAGGAATTCAAAGATAACTTCTTAAAGCAATCAAGAAGGAAGGTATTCCAATCTACATACACTGTGTGTAAACAACTTGCTACTTGTTAATCCAAAACTTTCTGGGGCGCTGTCTAGTCATGCTACTTGACTTTTATAGAACAGAATAGCTCTATCATTGTGAAATGAAGTTTTCAACGTTAGAGCTAACCTTGCTTATCCATCACCAGTCTGCAAGTTATGTGAAGGAAAGAAGGGAAGGGCAAAGAAATTAAGGCTACTAACTCTAAACATAAAAAAAATCTGCTAACAGGGCTTTATAAATCTAATGATGAGAAGAACCAGGCTAAAGCAAGACAATAAGGAAAACAGAAAAGAATAGTAAAGATGGATCTACAAGAAAAAATAGAAGACAGGTCAATTAAATTGGCAGAAAGAGATGCAGAATTTTTGCCTTGAGCGTGACGTGACAGACTTCACTAAAAGATTTTAATAGACACAGGAAATTTGATATAATTCAAAGTATAGAAATGTCGAAATATTTCAACAAAAATTCATTCGATGGTATATATAAAGGAACTGGTTATAAAAATGTCACCAAGTGGCATGAATCCAGAACACATTATTATAATGAAGATGCAGTATATTCATTTTTCACTCACTCCAAAAGAGAAATAGATTTTTGTGTTTATTAGATTATTTTTAGAATAATCAGTAACCACAAAGGATTGCTATGGGTTTCAGTAAGTATCTGAAGCTCTGCCAGTAAAAGGAATTAAGCTGGGGGACGAAATTCAAATACCTTTTGCATCATCAGAACCCGAAGCCAAGAGTTTAGGATCCATTAAATTAAAGTCAACACTCCAACACCTCTTCTCATGCTCCTGGATGTAGAAGGAAGACAAAGTCTCAGACAGACTATAGATCTTAAAATAAATAAAGCAAGAAACAAACAAACAAATGACACAAATTTACTGCTATGAGAGGGAGAAAGAACTGGCTCGGAAATCAAATGAGATGCAAAGCAGCTCCTAAGGTTTTTATATAAACATTTACTAAAATTACTGCTTTTGGAAATTCACTTGATACATTCTACAAATGCAAACAGTCTGAAGAGATGCTTCAGAAAAGCATTCCACAGGTCTACAAAAATCCTAAACAGTGACTTTAAATTTGTAATTATAAAGCACATGAAGCTCTACAATTATTAAGAAGGTAAAAGATGTGATTCTTAAACCAAGTGACTAGTATCCTTATTTACCTGATAGACCTTTGACCTCTGTCCTGTGAATCCATCCCACAGAATGACCGTGCCTTCATAATCACTGCTGGCTAACAGGTTCTTATGGTAACTACTCCAACTGATACAGCTGAAAGAAAGGAATATATAGTTAAGCCTCACTTTACATAGAAATAAATAACAACAGGCACAAAAAGCACTTTGATGTGTCCAGAAAGCCTAGAACCCTTTTAAAGGGGTCTGCATGAGTTCACAATCATCATCCTGCTCACAACACACCCGGGAAGAAAGATATCAAATGATTCCCAGATTTTTCTATTGAAACTACCAAGTCACGACCCTTAACCACTTTTCACTCTCATCAGGAGCTGCAAGACGGATATGATGAGCCTAAAGCTGCTGCTGGCCGTCTCTGGTGTGTGAGGAGAGCATGCCAATAAGTGAAGATAACAGAGGCCAAGGGGGCACAAAGCACTCCAGGACAGAACGACAGAGATCTAACCCGAACTGTTCAGGCCCCTGGATCCGGCTGTGCCGAATCATATAAGCCAATAAATTAGTTTGAATTGGGTTTCTGTGTTTATATACAAATCATAACGTAAGTGTATGAGTGAAACTCCAATTAAAAGCATTTAACTGTTAGAATTAAACTCTTAACTTTTATGGTTTTAGGTATCCTCAGATGTTCCAAAATCAAGAATGCAACATCTAAAAATGCGTATTTTTGGCTAGACACATATGCTCATCATGCATACAGTAAAGCTAATGTACATGAAGGAAGAAGTCACTTAGAATGCAAAGCAATTAACCTACATGACGTCCAAGCATTTGAAAACAATAGTCTTTTTGCTCTCTACTAGCTGCAGTCAAGGATAAGTTTTAGCGATTGGAAGAATTCATCTGTACATGTAAATATACTTATTGCAATTTCTGGGAGAAATTACATGAAACAGTTAAGAGCTGTGGATTTTTAGATAGACTTGAGCTTAAATTCCAGATCTGCCACGTACTAGCTGTGGCCTTGGGTAATTTAGTTCCCTTTCACAACTGGTGCGCTCCAAACTGATTTCAGGCATGCTTACATATTGATAGTTTCAGCTCCAAGCCCACAGTTTTCAGCCTTGAACAGTTTACTTCCTTTACTCCAAGGTTCCGTAAAGTATTGTCTTATTTTCACATATGTCAAGACAGAAAAAGTAACCCCTCTAGCCCACATTTTCATTACAGTAACATTTATTACAAATTCTTGATATGGGCCAAGTATTGTACTGAATGTATTACATGGATTTACTTAAAGTACAATCCTATGAAATAGGTATTACCATTATGGCCTCTGTTTGTAGTATGAAAAGGTTAGGAGCACAGATGCTGGAACCAAACTACTTCTGCTTGAATCCAGACTCATCTACAAACTAGCTGTGCAATCTTAAGCAAGTTAATGAACCTTTCTGTGCTTCGGCTTCCTCGTGTATAAAATGGGGCATTAACTATTTGCTTAAGACAAAGCACTTAGAATAATGCCTACACATAAGAATTCAACAAAATGATGACTTAATCACGTTGTATTCTTTCCACTTAGGACAAATAACAGACTCACGATGGTGAGCACCACTGACAAATGAGCATTATCAGTCTATCATTTTTATGAGTAAATAAGGAAACAAAAAGGAAAGCTATAACAAATAAATTATAAAAAGACTGCAATACTTGCTATATTATTAACATTATTAAAATAACCATCTATACTCACATACTATATGTGTCATTCATCCAGATAAAAATGGTACAGGGATGATTGGAAAATGTTCAAAGTTCTGAATAAGTTTATTATTAAGTGATTTCCTTACATTACTCCCTTTTAAGTCAGTGCCTATGAGACTAGCTTAGGAAGACTGTTTCAAATATGCAGATTCTAGGATTCCTCTAAGATTTTGGGGGGCAGATCAGAAGTAGGGTCCAGTTCCTGCATTTTAAACAATATTCCAGATTTAAAAAGCACCCATTATTAACTTTACCCTCAAATACACAAAACAAATGCTATGCCTTCATGGAAAGAAGCAGAATGTCCTTGTGAAAAGAATTCTTAAAACTCTAAACAACTATATTTAAAGATGTGTGCATGCTAGAGGAAAAATTCCTGACTTTGAGACCCTACTTATTGGGCTACCGGAATCCTTTATTCAATACCCAGTGAAAGGCCATTCGCAATAAAGACCTTTATTTGATTAAGGGAAAGAAAGGATTTTCATTTAGCAAATAGAAAAATAGTAACTACTAACCCCCAGAGAGGAAAGCAACCAGTATTTATAAAAAAGATATTCTGACATATCTTCCGTATATAATTATAGTGTTCACCATGAATGAGTAAGAGTCTCATGAAAAGGTAAAATAACAAACTCATACTAATTACAGATACTAATTATTATATACACACTGTGTTATGTCAAGAAAATAATGTAAATACCTGATTTTGGAATTGCAGGTCATTTCATTTTCAGGGTAATGAATATCCACCGCATCCTGAATGACTGTGTCATATTCATAGACTTTAATCTTCTTTGTAACCCCAGCAATTGCAAAATAGTCACAATCCCGGTCAAATTCAATACTAAGGGAAAAAATATACACATACTTGTAAGCAGTCAGTAGCACCACTTACCTATCCTTGTGATGTTTACAATGACAACATTTCAGAATTTTTTTTTCCCCTACTTCTAAAGTGATCCTGTCTACAAGGATAAGAGATCTGCTTGAAATGCCTTCAAATTGTACTAGGCCCTATGTCCAGATGAAGTCATTATCAAGACATGTAAAATGACAAGTGGGGGCCAACTGTGTACAGCTACACAATTCTGCTTAGGGTGGTTCTTTTGTTCCTGGAAACTTGACAAGTTTTCAATTCAGTTTTAATAACCATATTACAACATACCCAACTGTCAAAGCTAACAGAGTTACACTGTTTAAGTAGTGAGGAAAGATTTAATGGTTTGGTATAGTAAAAATACATCAAAAGAGAATTGTCAATCAATCTTCTCATAAATTCTAGCTATTTCCCTTCTTACCATTTGGTGGGGATGACAGAATTTCACAATATTTCATGCCATTTTAATGAGTCAGTACGCACGCTGAATTACTGAAGCAATTAAGGAAGGAGTGATGACAAAAGGGTAAAATACACAATAAAAATGGAATCTTAAATTATCATTACATTTCCCCAAGTCCATCTCTAATCTTCCAATCAAATATGATCTCTGACTTATTAACCCCCAATACAGATTCCTTAAACCACCAACAAACAAGGGAAAAGCTAAACATCGCTCTTCCTTTAGTTACTTAGGGAATTCACCCCTCTCTTACTGACTTTTTATACAAGTTCCAGAAAAAGCTACTTAGCAGAGCACAAGACTATTCTCCTTTCAAGATCTTAACTTGGAGTCTCAATAAAGGTGTTATATAATCAGCAAGAATACTAAGTGATCTAATGGAATTAAAAGTAAAGTGAATCATCACAAACATTATTTCTCAGTGAGTTAAGCGTCCTTTCTAGAACTTAGTTAAAAGGCTAGGCAATACATGAGTTCTCACTGATCTTCAACTAATTACATAATAATTATGGATAACTCCCTGACCACTCACTATGACCACTGTGCATATTAACTCATTCAATTCTCATAATAACTCAATGAGATAGGTATTAATTTATCCACATTTTACACATGAGAAAACAGAGGCCTAGAACTGTAGTAACTAGCCCAAAGTCAGCCATCTTGTGTCTAAAATGATATGCTAGTAGTCTATTCTGCATACTTCCAGCATTCATTAAATGCACACAAATATCTACATGACGTACTTTTCTTTATAGATTACCTGTGATATCCTTTTACCAAAAAATTAATGATCAGTGAGTTAATAACATAGTTAGAAGCGCTGCTAAGCTGATGACAATGAATAAAGAAAAGTACACATTAAGAATATTTCCCATTAAAACACACATCGAGATGCTCATTTTTTATGATAGCTTTAAATCCTTCCTTAATTTTATAAAAATTTTAAAGGAATTTCATTAAATGTCATTGACTATTGCACAATTCAGCAAATGCTCCCTCCAGTACAACTATGTAGCACTGCAATAGATTTATTTATACAATAATCTCAACTGAACTGCTGTCTGAGCTACTGTTATCTGTCCTGCTGACTCTAAAGCAGCATTAAATGTATTGATGGCAACTACTCATCTATCCTAACTCAATTTATACCCACAGCCTTATGCCACTGAAGGAGAAATATTACTATGTCTGGCAAAAGACAGAGTTGTCAGAACTGAAATTTTATCCTTAGGAAATTTGGTACTGCTAAAGGCTTCAAGGGAGAACCACTTATATTATTCTAAACACTTTTCCTCCACCTACAAACATACATGGCTAATAATTCAACAGCATTCCAAATGTTGTACCAGTAAAAGTTAACATGTCACTTCCCAACTATTTGTTTTTAATATAAAAAAGTTTAGAGAGTAACTTATTAAAATTCCAAAGACACTGCAGGAAGAAAACTGGCACATAAATAAAAATGCTGTCAAAGAATTGACTTGATAATATAAATAAGTAAATAAGTCTATTATTTCTTCTCTTGTTACCCTGTTATTCAAGACAGCTCTCTTATGTCAACAAAGGTTACTATTTAGCTATGTCAGTTCATTCTTAACTCTTACTAAAAAATTAACTTTTTGTTTAGACTTTACTGTTACTGTGTTCTTACATTCTGGTCATGTTTTGTTCTTAATATACTAGGATATCAAGGGCCTAGACAGTATCCTTTAATATTCTGGGATACTGAGGTTCTTTGAAGTTTAAAAACAATAAAATTTTAATAGAAATATTGATTTAAAAAAGTATAAAGAATAGTATTATTTCTAGTAAATCTTGGCTGAGAGAGAAAGAAAGACAAACAGCTACCTTTACTGGAAAAAAAAAAAGGCAAGCACTTCTACATTAACTAAGAATTTAAGTACTTTCAAAGACTGAATCATTTGTTCCCAATCTTGGACAAATTTAATCATATCTATTCCCAAACACAAATAAAATCAGACTCTAGAAACAGATCATGGAATAAACTCAAAAGGACAATGTACATTCCAGGTATAGAGAGCTTTTCAGAGCTAATCAAAATGGATGGCCTCTTTATTCACAATACAGTATTTCAGTTGCCCTAATTATGAAATCTGATGACACAAACAAAAATAATAAACAGTGACGAGTTAGGCTGAAAAAGCACTTATGCAAATAAATTCAAAAAAGAACTATAAGTCCTTCTTGATACACAAAATTCATTTCTGCTATCCACTATCACCAGTAATAAAACAAGTGGTTTATACAAGTTAACTGCAACAATTCGGTTTCATATAATTTTTTAAATTTAAAAAATAAACTTTTTTTTTGAAAAATAATATAAATGGGGACTTACTTACACATGAAAATAAACTGCATTTTTCTTTCACACTTAGAATGTTTCAACTGTTTTAAAAAGTTGATTTATTTAAACAGTTGTAAAACATAATTCAGCTTCAGGAACTGGCTGTATTCTTTGTCAAAAGGGCCATCAGTCAAGTGAATAAGCATTAAGGCAACAGATCACACAAGGCACCTGATTAATGCATACATCTAGTAGAGTGAAGCACAAAGCAATGTAAAGATGTCAATATTTCAAGAAGGGAACTTTGTCAGTGTTCCCGCCGTCTGTCATATTAATTATAATTATAAAACATGTATTAGCAAACAAGGCAAATTAGTACCCCTCCATACTAGAATCCAATTTATCAAAAGAAAATATAAAGTGAACACAGTTGTTAAAGTTCTAATGCATTACCATGTTAGTGTGCCCCAAGAGACAGACGCTACCATAATTTCAAGGAAACAAAAAAAGATTCAGAAATTGCCCATTTTAAAGAAAAAGAAAAAGGCAGATCTTTAAAGAATACAAATACAGGTAAAGTAAGTAAGAATTGATGTTATTTAACTGACTTTCTCCCCAAACAATAACAGTGAAATGTTCCATAACACAATTAACACTCACTATGTGTCAAGCACTGTCTTAAGCACTTTACGTAAAATATATTTAATCTTCAAATCTCCATTGTATAGATAAGGAAACTAAGGTATACTGACGTTAAGTAATTTGCCCAAGGTTCACTAGATAATTACAACTCAAGCCATCCACTTCCAGAGCCTAAGCTCTCAAATCACTGTGCAAAACTTCCCATTTTAATGAGAAAAAAAAAAGGGGCCAGTCTTCAAGGAATACATTCAGAAGCAAAATAAATAATAACATAAAATAATGATACTTACTATATTATATATGACAGTAAGAATATCATTCATTCTGTGCAACAATTTAAACAGACTGAGGAAAAAAAAGGAGTAAAGTAGCCTCATAAGCTTTCTAATTAGTGGGAAAGATGATACACAAATATGCAAATTCCAAAGGACAAGGACAAAACATGGCGCAGGAATTCAGGAGTCAATGATCACTAAGGTCTACTGGAAGAAAATGAATGATGCGTGAGTATCTTCCTCCATCAAATACCCAGCGTGCCTGTTACCTGTCAAACACAGACCTCGCTGATGGAAAACCAGAACTCATTTGAGAAATTCGCAGAAATGTGCATTAACACAAACCTGGGCTATTGCAACAGCCTCCTTACAAGTCTGTTAATCCTGATTTCCTCTTTTCTAATCCACCTGAAGGCCTGATATTGGGGAAAATTTCCAAAAACACAGCTCTGTTCACATAATTATCTTTATATACAACCATGTAAAATCCAAACTCCAACCTTTGGCAAAGATCCTTCATAACCTGGCTTGAACCTTTTCTTAAAACTTATTTTATTTTTAAAAATATGTATACAAGCAATGCTTCAAAAAGTATACAGAGAAAAGCAAGTCTCCCTCCCAATCTTGCCAAATAAGCACCCAACTGACCTCCCTAGAGACAACCAATAGTTACAGTTTGTGCATCACTCTAGAGTTACTTATGCATATATGTATTCATATTCTTTTTTAAAATTAAACACATGGGATGGTATCGCACATACTGATTTGCACTTTGCCCTCTCCCTCTCACATCACACAGTATCTTGACAATCATTTCATATTAGGGATACCTCAATTTTCTCCCAGTGGTTGCAGAGAATTCCAACATACGGATGTATCATAAATTTAACCTGTCTAATGAGGAACATTTACTTTCTAGTCTTTCACTTTCAAACAATGCTGCAACTAGTAAATACCCTTCTGTGTGTGTCATTTTTCACACTTGCAAGAATATCCTTAAATATACCTGGATTACGATGTGCTAGGTCAAAAATCATGTCCTTTTTACTATAGTTAAATAAAGCTAAACCTCTCCCCACCCAGATTACCACTGATAACCTCAACTTTGCCTCGGAATGCTCCCATTTACCTTCTTAACTGAACTGAAATTTGGCTTCCCCTGAAAAAGCCAATTCCCCTGAAGCTCTCTCACACTCCATGTTCAAGCAGGCCGCTGAGATGAAAGTCAGTGTCCTCCTTGCTATCCATGCCTTCTTCCAGCCATTCTCCCTCCAACCTC